TGTGTGTGTGTGTGTGTGTGTGTGTGTGTGTGTGTGTGTGTGTGTTTCAAATTTCCCAGGACAGCCTTGAACCTGGTGTATATCTCAGGCTGGCCTTGAACTCCTGATCCTCCTACCTCCATCTCCCGAGTCCTGAGATCACAGATTGGACCACGGTCCTCGTTCATTTCTGTTGCCATGATACAATATTCTAGCCAACAGTGACTTAGGGCAGAAGGGGTTTACTGTATTATACCTCCAGGTTAAATCACAGTGGCAGAAGTTGAAGTGTTTAGTCACATCGCATCCCCATCAAGAGCAGAGGGAAATGAATGATCGCATGCTTGCTCCTTTCTCGCTTGTTCTCAGCTCAACCTCTCCACTTTTATACAGTTCGGGAGCCCTGCCTAGGGAATGGCGCTACCCACAGCGATCTGGCTCTTCCCACACCTACCTATCAACTCAGTTAAGACAGTCCCCCACAGGCCAACCCAGTCTCTTCTCAGGTGAGTTGAGCTTGATCAAGTTAACAATCAAAGCTAACCATCACAAGTGCCATGCCACGCCTGGTTTACAAATGGCTGGGGATTCACGCGTGTTAGGTTATCCACTGAGCCACATCCCAGACCTGAGTGTCTTGACAGGAATAGAAATGTCCCCTATTGGCTCATGTTGGTGCCCAGCAGGTGGCGCTGTTCTGGGAGGTTCTGGAAACTTTTTGAGTGGGGCTTAGTTGAAGGGAGTGGGTCACTCGAGGGCAGTCTGTGAAGGTTTTGCACAGTACTCAATCCCTTTCTTGTGCTCTGCCTGCATCCACCACGAGGCGAACAGTATCTTTCTGAACATGTTCTTACCGCCATGACCTTCTGCCTCCACCACAGGACTGGAATCAGTAGGACCAAGGACTGCAGACAGAACTCAGAAACAATGAGTCAAAATAAATCCCTCCTCTCTTGGGTGGTTTATGTCAGAACAACAAGAAAACTAATATAGATAGGGTTCTATGGGCCAGCAGATGGGTCTACAAGACCAAGGACTAGGCATTGGTCCTCTGAGGAACCCAGGGGGTGAGCTATCCTTAGATGCTTCTGAATCTTCACCCAGAATCTCACAGTGAGCCTGGCAGTGGAAAACCCTGTGCATTTCTGCTTTGGAACTGCCACAGAGTGTCTGTCTGTCTGTCCTACCATCCCAGAGGCTGCTCTTCCTCCAGCCAGTCAGACCCCCACCCCCGGTCTGAGAAGGATCTTCCCAGGTGTCCCTGGGTAGGAGAGTCCATGTTCACTGTCAGCTTGATAGGCTCTATAATCGCATAGGAGGTCAACTTCTGACCTGTCTGCTCGGAGTTTCAAGACGGAGCTCATAGAGGTGGGAAAGGTGACCTTGAATGTGAGCAGCACCATCCCACAGGCTGGGGGTGAAATAAGGAGAAAGTCAGCTGAGCATGGACATTCATCGCTTTCTGCTTCCTGAGTGTGGATGCCATGCGACCAGCTGCCTTCGTTCCTGCTGCCTGCCTTCCGCACCGTGATGGATTGCGATGCCATGTGAACGGCTACCTCAAGGCCCTGCGGCTGTGCCTGCCCTGCCATGATGGACTGTACCCCCAAACTATGACCAAAGTCAGCCCTCCTTTCCTTAGCTGCTCTTGTCACAATGATGAGAAAAGTAACGGAACGGGTGTGATTTGGCCCTGACTGGGTCCTTCCTGGATGATGCTGCTCTCTATTTCCAGCATCTGGAGTCCCAGGAGGCCAAAGAGGAACCTGTGTCCCCTTCCTTAAGCACACATTGCCAGGTGGCTGCAGGATGCAGCCTCCTTGTCTACTCAGTGGCTTCTCCAGTACTGGAGGCAGGTGACCACGTCCAGGGCCTATTAGTCACCTGAGAAGAGGGACTCGGAGCTGGCTGGGGCTGGCCAAGCCACCAGGGCACTAGCCAAAGGCTCCAGTCCATGTGGTAGATGACCTTGTCTGCTTGGTCAGACAGAATGAGGTGTCAGAATGTCTGAGAGCCTTCCGGAGGTCATGTTGGGCAGGGACCACAGAACAGTCAACCTAGAGCTGGCTGAGGCCTGGTAAGAGTGCCTGGGGTAGGTAGGAGCCCCTGCCAGCCGGCCCAGAGATATTCAGTCAGGCCCTGGGCTGGGGTGGAACCATGCCAGGCTTCAGCAAGGCGTAGCCGATGTTCTGGAGCTGACTATCCCAACAGCCCAGGTGTCGTGGAGTGTCATGGGGTGTTTAGGGGAAGAGCAGAGGACTCCAGGGTGGCGGCACAGTGGCAAATGCAGGGGGGCTGATAGAGTGGGAATCCCACACAGCTTCCCTATCTTCTCAGCCCAGGGAAGGGTGACCCTGCCAAGCTGCCCCTGCACAGCGCACTTAGTGAACACTCACGGATACTTGTTCAGCCAGTTCAGCTCCACCCTCGGGGCAAAGAAGGCTAAGAGCAGACCCAGGAATTCCCGGCTGGCCAGGAAACCGTCTACATGGAGGCCCTAGCTTTTGGGTGGTACTTTGAACAATTTTTATATTACTAGTTTTGTGAGTGGTTTTTTTTTTTTTTTTTTTGAGAATTTACTATGTCTTCAAAAGGTGAAAAAAATAGTTAACAGGTGCTGGAGCTCTAGGTCCGCGGGAGGTGGGGTGGGGGGAGCGCTTGCCTAGTGTGCACACAGCCCGGAGTTCCCGCCTTAGCACCACATAAACCAAGCATAATGGCACAGACCTATTATCTCAGCACTCAGCAAGTGGAGGCAGGAGGATCAGAAGTTCAAGGTCGTCTTTGACTACCTAGTGAGTTTGAGGCCAGCCTGAGCTACATGAGACCCTGTCGGGAAAGAAAGAG